CAACAGTTCAGGTAAAGAAAGTTGTAGGAGTTATTTGCATAAGGATAAGGGAAGAAGGAGTTAAAGAAATGTTTTTAGCCAAAAGGAAGCTAGCAATTCATGATCAGGTGCAAGCTAAGAGCAGGACAAAGAGACAAAAGAGGAGCAGAGACAGAAGAGGAAAAGGGAAGAGCACTGGAATAATGGAAGCACTGAGAAATGAAAAGAGAGATGTAGGTGAGGTAATATAATAAAGGGCTTTGAAGGTGAGGATGAGGAGATAATTCAAGGATGAGCACAAGAAAGTGATTAATATTGGCCCTGCACAGGCTGATATGCCTTGGGTCCCACACACCCCTAGGGACGGTTCTGGTGGTAGTACAGGGAAAAGTGAGAAACAGGGAAAAGTTTGTTCATAACATGAGTGTTAGCAGATCAGCCTAGCTATCATGCAGTAGTACTACTAGTTTCTATGCATGAGATTTGTGTCCCTTATTTCCAGACCCCGCGGGCTAAGTGCACCAGTAGCAACAAAACACTTTTACTAAGAAGTTAGATTTTGGATTTATATACAATGGTTTGGATATAGATGATCCTGCCTTAGGCAGGGGGTTGAATTAGATGACCTATGGAGGTCCCTTCCAGCCCTACTTCTCTATGATTCTAAATATGTTCCTTAGTATTTATTATTTTTATTTTACTTAAATGTCACTGTCAATTCTCTTTTTTTTAATTGAAAAAAGCTCTGCCTACCTATGCAAATGACTAAACAATGCTCCTGGTACTGTTGTATCTGACTCATTGAAAATGCATTGGCTATTTTTGGAATTTGAAATCCAAGGGTCTTGACAAGTAATATTTCCAGGCTGAGAAAATGGTAGAAACTGCCAAATAATAAACATATATAATAGTTTAATTATTTTAATACTTAAAATAGCAATTGCTTAATGCAATATAGATATATTAATCACTTATATTTGTTTATATATTTTGCATTAAAATTCAATGAGAATAGAATAATTAAAAAATCTACACACACAATATGGTATAATTATGCTGCACAGTGGGAAATAATTGAATAATTCTATTTATTTTAATTAATTCATGATGGAGTAAAACGTTCATTGAAATCTCTAGTATCACTTATAAAGGACCAAATCCTCCTTGCATTATTCATGTAAGCAGCCTGATTGACTTTAATGCAGCTCATAATGTCAGTACTGGTTGTCAGCCAGCCAGTCTATCTAGGACCCACTGCTACCAGATTAACAAAGGAGCCACATAAAACTGACTTCTGGAACTAGCATTGATCATTTTGTCACCAAAATTTGGGAAGGGCAGCATACAAATCAACTAAATACATAAGCAAATGAAACACATATTAATCTTTTTAATTTCTTGGAGAATTATCAATTTTTCAAAAAAAATTAAAGCCCCCTTTATAATTGTTACTACTTCTTCACATTTCTTAAAACCTAAAATTATCAAAAAATAAAGTAAAAAAGTCAGCTAACCTAGAGAAGGCCACCTGTCAATAAATGTCTTAAAATGGCATAGGAAAATATTACCTTGAGTTCAAAGGTATCCTCTAAATCACAAGTTCTCAACTTTCCCACAAACTGAGCACAATGTAATGGAGAGGGATTATTTGGAGCAGTGGTTCTCTATCACAGGACAGTGTGTTGATCGTAAATGGTATGTAAAATGTAAATAGGGAACTGTTTTTTATGATCTCTCATAATAGGGAGCACCTGATGAAATGACCAGGAGGAGGAAAATTTAAAATAAAAATAGGGAAGTATTTTTATTCAGTGCATAATTAATACAGGTTGTTGTGGAAACCAAAAGAATTAAAGAGTTCAAAAACGGTTTTGATAAGTTTCTGAAGGACAGGTCCACCCAGGGTTATTAAGCACAACAGTTAGGGATGTAACCTTCTCCCTCTGTATGAAAGGGGATGGGTTACACTATACCTGTTTCTTATATTCTTTATACCCTGTTTCTTATTTGTTTTATAGCATCTGTTACTTGCCACTATCAGGGACTGGATACTTGATGGACATTTGGTTTTACCCAATAGGGCAATCCTTATGCTCTTGAGGTACCAACAGGTGAGATGCAATGCTTGATATAGAGAGAGCTTATGGGAACTGGCTACTTCCTCCAAATGTTGTTACAGCATTAATCAGCATCATGTCAGGATCCAGTCCCAGAACCACAACCCAGGGGCTCAGGGACCAAGCACCAGCTCATCCCTCCATCAGCTCACCAAGGAAGACAAAGCCGAAAGGAAAGGGACCCTGATGGGGAAAGGCCTTCTACCTCTGGCTCCAGATTGGGTCCTCCTGCCTACATAAGACTTCCTGTTTTTTGGGGAAGCCGTCCAAGTAAAAAGGCTCCTGCTGTCCTTTCCTTTGCACTCTGACTCAAGATCTGATCACTCACTGCCAACCCCACTCAGACTTCAGCTTCTGCCTCCCTCATGTCTTGGATTGTTGGAGCTCAGTTCTCATGGTATCTGATCCAGCTTGCTCCCTGACCTTGCTCTTCTAGCATTTCTGTGCCGACTTGGGCTCTGATCCTCTGGCTTTGATCCTAGCTACTCCTCAGACTTCTGCTAATGGCTTGACCACCTACGCCTTGGTACATGATGCATTATGTTATGACACCATGCTGCTCCATGCTCATTACTTCTGAAATGGGAAGTAATATAGATGGCTTAGTGAGGTGCTGCAGACACACTGATTAGCTCTGCTGAGAGTCAGAATTAATTAGTCTGGGCACAGCACTGTGCTAATACATCTGTGCTGCTTCCCATTCAGGAGGCACGGCATGCAGGGCTAGCTCAGCAACTCTGCATAGCACTGTCTTGCACTGGCATTGTGGTCCACTAAGGTGGGTACACCACTGTTTCTTGTTTTGGGCTGGACTACTAGTTCTACAGGCTGTGTAGATTACTTCATAGTTATTAAGGTGGGCTATGGGGCCAAAAAATTAAGAACCCCTAATTTAAGAGGATGTTTTATGATCACAAATATAGTTGTACTGATCACCTCGCATATAATCTGTAATCACCCAGTTACAGCAATTGCTTATGAGGGGAAGCGATATTAGGAAAATATTTAATGTATTTTAATTATCTTTAATTCAGGGCAGCAACTGGTAATTAAGAGTAAAGGTAGTGCTAGTCCAGCCTCAGAAGACACCAACGAGATGTTATTGCTTTGTATTCATTAATAAAAGACTCAGACAAAGAAGAAGCTTATTCATATTAATAATCATAATTTCACTAGACCTTCCCTAAAAGAAATACACTTTTAACATAATTCTTCTGAAACATAAATATCTTTATCAAACCTGTTTGTTCTGTGTCTCTTCATAAGCCAAACCCCAAGTATTGCTTACTAGATTTGTGCTGAAATTTTGTTCTGGAAACTGTTTACATTTAGAAGACCAAGGAACAGAAGAGGACTGTGGACAGGAGCTATAATCTGCTGCTGCTGCTGCTGCTGCTGCTGCTGCATTGTACTGAGGTTCCGTACTCCAGTCTGTGCAAGTTGATTCCATAGCTTGAGATAACTATTGTAAAGTACAGTAAAAGATGCATATTATTTTATTTATCTAAACTGTTGTGGTTAATCCTATGCTTTATAAAAAGACAAGGACAGTTCTGTGCTTTTATATTCTGTGTTTATATATCTCATTACACACACACCCCTAGAGAAAATATTCTACTTATTTTCTCTAGGGGTAAAATTCTACCATATTTTACCTGAGCACTTATATTCACTTTTAGCATATGCATTAATTCTATCTTAGATGAAGGTAGACTTAAGTGTATGCTTAACTTTATGTATGTATACAAGTACTTCACTGAACTGGGGCTTCAATTAAGAAAATAGAAGATATTTCACATTGGTGTTGTGAGGCTTCTGTACATTATGAAAGTAGGATTCCGCGAAGGCGCACTTCAGCGCACAATGGAAAATTGGAGGCAGATCAGGGGAAGTGTCACGGGGTGTGAAACTCCACAGATCTGGTGGCCTTTTCACAATCTAAGGGGCACAGTGTGGCAATGTCTGCTATTTAAGGCCCCTGCCACATGATATGTATATTATGCAGTTAACTGGTTCATTGTGAAATAAATTTAGACTGGCCACACATGCAAAGTAAATACGCAATAAAAATGTTAATTTGGCTATAAAAAGAACCATCTAGATGTCCAGTGCTTGAAAATGTGTAACAACTGAGTTAGGCTCCAGGAGCAGCAAGAGACGTGCAGGTGAAAGCCCACTGCGCCCCCACTTTGTCAAAGCCCCCCAGCAACCCCCCAGCAGTTACAGAGCCCCCCACCAACCCCCAGCACAGTTGGAGGTAAGCGGGACCCATGGTGGGAGGGGGTGGCTCAGTGGGAGCCGAGCCAGGTCTCACCCCGCCCAGGCTCCTACTTCACCCAGCCCCACAGAGAGCCACAAAAACAGGCTGTGCAAACAGGCGTGCTTGTCTGCCGGTGTGTGAGCGCAGTTAGCGCAGAGCTTGTGCGGGAGGGCCCAAGGGTAGGTAGACTTAGGCCTAGCCTGCCTATCAGCGGCATGCCACCGATGGGCACTCACCGCACCCCCAGGGTCCCCTCAGAGACGGCCACCCAGACAGAGCCCATGATTCTGGTCTCCATGCAGACAGAGCCCCTGGCTCTTGGCTGCGGGGGCTGCCTGTCCCTTTTTCAGGCTCTGGGGCCCAGGAGCATGGCCACCTTCCCTTGTAGGGTCTTCTCCCTTTTGGGGTCTCTGGCATGCCAGCTGGAGGAGGTCCAGGCCACAGTCCAGAGACTGTGTGCCATCAGAGACTGCAAGCAGGAGGTAGATTCCTATTGCCAGGCCATTCTCCCCCAGGAGGTGGAGGGTAGACCACGGTCTCCCTCCAGGACAAGGGAGGACTCCGGGACCTCCCATTCTGTCCAGTCAGGGGCATGGACCAACGTGATCAAGGGCCCTAAGGCCCACCGCACCAAGGCCCCTGTCCTGCCGGAGCTTAGCAACTGGTACGAACCTCTTGCAGCCCCAGCTGAGCCTGCTGAGTTGCCAGCCCCTGCAGGCAACACAGGCTCACCTAAAGATACTGCCCCCACTCTCTCCAAGACAAAACATAAAGTGTTTGTTGTGGGAGACTCCATCC